AACCACTGCGCCACCAGGGAAGCCCTCTGCCACTTTTAACTATGAACTGCAGTTAGTTTCAAGCCACAATTAGCTCATGGTGAAGTCTAAAGCATGTGGAGACATTGATCAAATAATTATTTTGAAGGAAGGAAGAGATAGTGGAAAGGTAACCTTTTAGGAAACGAGGAATCAAAAGAGAAGCAAAAAGGTCAGGAGCTCTATAATGGAAAAATATCAAAGCTTTATTAATGGCAGATAAATTTAGTGATGAGTGCAAAACATGTATCTCTACAAAGATGAAGAGCAAAAGCTCTGGGTTCACAGATTTGCACTGTGGAGACCAAGTATTTAAATGTTCACTAGTATTTCAACCCCCCCAATAATAGTACCCAAATCACTTAAGTATATGTAACTGTGATATTTTAAAGGATGGAAAAAAAAATGATGTAGAAAAAAAGTAGTGGACACTCTTGAAGGTATTGTGAAAGTTAAGCTAACATTTTTCTTAATTGCAATTGTAAGTATAAAAATACTCCACCTCCAAATTTAACAATCAAATTTTTAAATAAAAATCTATCAATTGTGAATGTCAACAAACTATCAAATTATTACTATTTCCTCCGTATCAACTTCAGTTGGTACTAAGAATAAAGTCTCAGGGGCCATATCTTGTCTCATTAAAACTGTTGGGGACGTTTGCTTATACAGAACTTTTACCATGTATAATTATTTAATGTCTCTTTTTGAAGTACTGAGCAAATGGAGTTGCAAGCCAAATCCATTTGAATAAAAATATTGGCAGGGGTCAAATTTTAAAATAGTGGATTTTGATTAAAATGATTTTTCTTTAAACAGATTTATTTGGTAGTGGTTTTTTATCTGTTAACACAAAGAAAGAATAGTATTATGAAGTACATTCTCAGATTTGGTGCCCTAATTTTATCTCTGTATTACTTTACTACTTTAAACAAATTCATAAAACCTATACAATTGATGTTAAAATTAAGACTTGAAATCACACAACACATTAATCTTGGAAAAACGATCAAGAAAACAGCTATTAAATGTTAGGAATAAGACTCACTAGGGATAATGGGAAATATTTTCAGCTGATTTTAGAAAAAGAAATAATACCATAAGTGCTTTTTATTTAGTGACATAAGCGACTGCTTTATAACCACCACCTGTGTTTTAGCTTTTTTTTAACAGACTATAAACAAACAAAACTAAAAGTAATTAAGATAAAAAAACTTTAAAAAAAACCTACTTCTTCTACTTCCTGTGAGAAACATTAGCAATGTAAAAGCATTTTTGTAAAAGGAAAGTAAAAATATTTTCCTAAAGCTAGTGGACTGTAATTCTTTTACACTGAAAGTAGAGAGAAATAGAAGACAACATTTATATCAAATATTAAACCTCCCAGAGCAAGCTCACTGCTTCCTAATTCAAAAGTAAGAAAGGGAAGCACAGGGAACATACAAAGGATGTACAAATGAATAATCTAAAATAAAATGCACCGTCTCCAGAAAAAATTACCACACAAAGTTCCAATGACAACAAAATACAATTCAAAGCCACATTTGAAACCATGAATAAATATGCAAAATATGTACTACCTTCAAGGGAACAGCAGGTTTTCTACTGACTACTTTTAAGTTGGCAGTTAAAAGCCTAAATGGAAATCAAATGGGCAAAATGCAATTTTCAAAGGAAACTAAAGATGTGTAACAAGCACCATTAAAGTTGAATATTTAAAACACGACGAGTCCATGTGCAATGTAATTTTGCTCTCAATTTTGATAATTCAAACCAACTTATTTACAGAGTAAGGACAAACATAGAAAACTTTGAATAAGCATATGAGAATGTAAAAAATTCAACTCAAAGAATACTTAATAAGCAATACATGTAGGTCCAACAGCTCCAGTCAATAATGAGTGTTAAAAAGTAGAATGTTCTCTCAATAAATAACGTTAGCATAAAACAGCAGTTCTCACAGATAAGGCAATGTTCTGAAAGGTGAACATTATACTGATTCAGTATGGGCTAAATCTAAATCTCCTATTTTACAGAAAAAGAAAACTTCCTAGAGATGTCTGCAATCAAATTCGCTTTCCTCCTGATGACATTAAAAAAAATTGTGCTCAAAAATTTGCACAAATTAATGCCATTTTCCTTTGCCACAATTTCTCAATTTGCCTCAATAAATTCATCTTACCAATTGTAGCTTTCAACTTTGAAAATATTTAACATGTATCAATGTTCATAATAGCACAGCCATGTTTTAAAATGTCTTATTAAATTTTAATGGTAGTGATAAGCTGCTCTATCTTACTTTGATAAGTCATACTTTCCATTATGAAACAGAACAGCATTCTTTGGCCGATACAATTCTTAGAGTCAATGTATTTTTGGTTTCTTCACTTTCTGTTTTCATTTAGCAAATCTAGAAGAGTGAAACCTTCCATACTTTAATAAAATGAATATAATAAACAGTAGCTAGGCAAATTCTGTTACAAATGGCAGCTATGCAGTAGTCTCCAGCCCCTACACAGGAGATATCCGTTTCATATTATTTTAATAATCCATCTTTTTTTTTAAAAAAGCAAAGACTTTAGCTTCAATGCTCATGTTGAAAAAGGTTCGGATTATTTGTTTTAATGCATTCTTTCGAAAGTAATACAATGAATATACAGTGTTAATTCCCACGAATATAACTATATATAACTACACTTTCTCATAAAGAAGCTCAATTAAGTTGATAAGCTTTCAGTTTGCATGAGTTTGAGATGAAACATGATTTTCCTGATTGCATGCGGTAATAATTTTCACCCTCACTTGTTCAATCTGCACTTGCTACAGAGGTACAATACACAGTGTACTACATATATATACTTGTAAAATTTTTATACATGTCAGTTTGTATCTAATGAAGTTTACCACAAGAGTGCAGTCACTTGGATTTTTCAGAATTACTCTGCCATTAATCAGGATATGCTTCTCTTATACAAAATGCAACAATGTTTCAACATAATACTATAATTAAATGTCAATAATTAAATATTTAACTTCAAGTAGAAGCATAATAAATCAAAAAACTGTATCTTCCTTATAATTAAAAAAAAAATTGAACTAAAGAAGAATCTATTGTAGGGGGAGAGGTGGCTACTGTAAAATTTTATACTTGAGTAAATAATGCTCCAAAGGTAGGCTGCTACATACTACAAAAGAGAAAAAGGGTTTTCTCTAATAAATAATTACCTTCTAAAACATAACTGAAGTCTCCCTAAAAATGGTTCGAAGACAAAAGTTGAAAATGGTGAAATAAAAGCCACTAGGGAAATCATAATGATTAATAAGAAAGGTTTTAGAGAGAGAGACCAATCTAGGTTCAAAGGCCTGGTCATACCACTTATAGAAACTTACGACTTTTGGCAAGTCTCTTAATCCTTTTTAGCCTTAATTTCTTCACCTGTAAAACTGATCCTTGTGCTAAATAAGATAGTAAAAGAGGTATTATCAGCACTGAGCCTGATACTTAGGGCCCAATAAGGTAACTATAATGATTGTTGTCAAGACAAACTTGGGTCGGGGGGTGTTTATTAGCGACCTTGCAAAAACTGCTATGTTCCTTGCTTTAAAACCCACTCTGTTTGTTTGATAGTGTAATTACTGGTAGTTTTCTGCTGTTCACTTTCAATGCAAAGGACTCCATAGAATTAAGAAGAAAAATAATCGAGGGGGTCGGGATTCAGAAACCTAATTTTACAGCTGGCAAGAACGTGGACTCAGGCAAAACCGTGTGCGCTGCAGAATTTGTTAGCTGGCCGTCATATTACCTTTTAATTATCCTAATGATCCCCAGCCGAGCTGATGGGGGTTAAAAGGATATCTCCGGGGGAAGGCTTTTTAAAACAAAATTACTTTAGGCAAAAGAAAAGTCTAGCACCCAGGACAATACTAAAGAGGATGAGTTACTAATTACTTATTGAATGACTCACTAAAGCTGTATATTTCAGGCAGAAACTAACTGTCCAAGATATACGACTTATTGCACAAAATTTTCATCTTCCATTCTGAACTGGATGGAATCCGTTTCCTCACCAAGCTCTCAATATTTAAAACTTCATCTTCGCTTAATTATTTCAAAAAACCCAAATGAGATAGGAATGATTAACCCTACATTAATGAAAAAGGAGTGAGCTTTAAACGCTGTCAAGTAAACTGCCTAAAGTTACACTTTGTAAGCTACAGAAGGACCTGGGATTCGAACTCGTAGCTCTAGGGCTCCGAAATCTAAGCTTTTCTCGCTACACTCAAGCTTGCGCTTCCACTTGGCTTCCCTAAACCGTCCGGTAGAGAGAACATTCATTATGAAGCTTTCTTTTTTTCGTTTCTTTTCTTTTTTTGTGTCTCCTCTGTTGCCAACCCTTCCATTTCACACTACCTCCTATGTTGGGCTACGAATTCCATACAACAACAGTCGAGGTGCACTAAGGCTAGGAGTCGGAGTATAGACCCAAAGAACAAAAATTGGTTTTACTTCCTACGCGGAATGGAGGTCTGGCGCCAGCACCAAAAGCGACAAACAGGCAGGGGTCCAGAGAGGCTGCAGACCGCGCCCAGGTCTCAAGTTTTAGTCAAGGCCCACGTTCCGGCCAGGCGACGAGAGCAGAGAAGGTTATCCTTTCTTGACACCCTCGCCGCCGCGGGAGCACAGAAGAGAAGGTTGGAGTCTCAGTAATAGTGCCCACAATAAATTCAAACCCCCTCTTCAGCCCGTTAAACGCACTTACTTGAGCGAAGTAATTTCCAAGACACAAGGCCGGCACCGGCAACGGGAAGGGCCCCTCGGTCCTCCTGCCCCAGACGCTGGCGGTGACGACATCCGAACCGCGCCGCCGAGAGCGAAGGCCCGGCGAACGGAGCGCGCGCTCCCGACAGGGGCTGGGCGACTCCGCGGCGCCACCTTTAAGCGTCACTGGCGGGGCTCTGCTTCTGAACACCCGGGTTTGAACATGTCGCGGTTGAAGGGAGTAGCTGGGCGGGATACCCGAGCGGGGTTCCGAGCTGAGAGGAGAGACTGCGGTGCCTCCGTACCCCAGGGGCTATTAAAGGCGGCGAAGATCCAGAGGTACGACCCGATTGTACGACCTGGCAAAAAGCACTTGCCCCACGTAGCCTCCCTTTCCTCTGGCCTGGGTTTGGCCGCCTTTTGCCCAGGCTCCTAGCCAGGATCCCGGTGCTCGAATTCAGGCACTCATAACATTTGCATTGGTTCGGTCAGCTCGTTCGGTTCCTCCTTTCGCTCCACGAGTGTCTGGTGCAGGGAATGTGCTGGGAATACGGTCAAAATTTAAACGGGGCGCTTTCTGGGATTCCTACATTCTGTGGAATAACAACATAATGTTTGACTAAATTAGCTATCAAGTGATGGGCACATGCTTTGTTTCTTTGGCCCTCTGTTCCTCCTCTTAATTATCACTTAGGGCAGTTATCAGCGCTAAAATTCTGTATTTTATCTGCTCCTTTGTGAACTTAAGAGTGAATGTCACTGTTCTCTATCAAGACCATCTTCTGTGTGCAACTGGACAGGAGGAAATACAAGCAATAATGAACATAATCCTAAATTGAAGATCAAGATGGATGCCATACTGAGTGAATTTGGGGCCATCCTGAAAATCTAGTAAAGATAAAAAGCACAAATCTGGACACCATGAACGAATAATAGCCAGATGCTCTTCTGATTTTCTGTTGTATATGGAAGGGAGTGGGAAGTGGGGAGAGAGAGATTATGGCATTCCTCCTGTTTACCTCTACTTATATTTAGGTTTAAGGCTACCTGGGATTAAAAGCTTCCATTTCCTTGTAATGATTGCTTTTTTTATTGTGCCATGTATAGAGTTGACCATGCAAGCAAATACTTGCTGAATGAATGAAAGGGTATATGACAAAATCTCTGCTCTACCTAGAAAAGCTTTTAATCAATGGGGACATTAGTATTCTAAAACTACAGATGTGCATATACACTTGCTTTTTCCAAAGCCTGGAACTTTCTACATGATACCTGACTAGGGTTCACTCTGCTTCCTATAGGACTCTGCTCAGATAGGCCCTTCCTAACTACCCTATCTAAATACCATTGCTAACATGTATTCTCTGTTTTTTAATAGCATTTATTACTATCAGAATTTATATTATGTATTTGTTTATTGTCTTCTCTCCTCTGCTAGAGTATTAGTTGTATGTGGTCAAGAAGCTTTGTTTTATTAATCGTTGTGTCCCTAACACTCAAAATAGTGCTTAGTACATAGTAGATTCTCATTAAACATTTGTGGAAGGAATAAGTAAATGAATGAGTACTCCCAAATACTAAGTGTGTGCTGGAATATACTTATTGATTGGATCCAGATGGTTTAGTCTATTAAAGTTTCAGGGAGCAAATGAATTTTCACTCCTAGCTTCATGATGACACGGATCAGGACTGTTTAGGTCATTATTGTATAAACAGAGCCTAACGTAATATCTGGCACATACTAGGTACTCAGCAAATTATGTTGAAGGTACAATATTTCATAGGAGACAAAAGATGTAAATGGGAGAGGCACATGGTATCTATAGCTTATATATAAAAAAGGAATTCTTGTTATCATAATATAAAAGGTTTTTCTTTATCTAGTTGTAGCCTTCAACTTCATCTCTTGTCTTTCAGCCTTTGATATCCAAACTGCAGTAATTCTGAACTATTTGTAGTCCAGTATGGGGCCATGCCTCTTATCTCCATATCTTTGCTCCTGTAACTTTGAGATGCTTAATCTCCCTGTGTTTTATTTTCTTATTTATAATGTGATAGTAGGAATAGGACCTACTAAGGTTTAAATGAGATAGTACACATAAAAGTCCTGGTACATAAAAAGTACGTGGTAAAAATTGGCCATTGCTATTATTATTGCAATAGCCTCCTAAGTAGTTTCCTGAATTTCTTGTCTTAAATCTCACCCTCTAAATCAGTGCCATTACCAAGAATTATCTTTCCAAAACAAAGATCTTACTATGTCATTCACATTTAATGACTTCCAGTAGCCCACAAGATTCAGCATAAAGTTCTTAGTACAAAAAACAAAAAAAGTCTTTTAAAATCTTGCCCCTAAGCATCTACAATAAAGCCTCCTGTCTCTTCAGAATCCTGTACTTTAACAACAACAACAATAGCAAATCGTTTTTCCCCCTGAACAACCATACTTTAAGGTTTTTGTAGAACAGTTTTAGGATTCCAGAAAGTTGAACAGACAGTACAGAGAGTTCTCGTATACCCTCTCTCCCCAGCTCATAGTTTCCCCTATTATTAACATCTTGCATTATGTAGTACATTTGTCACAATTGATCAGTCAGTATTGATATATCATTATTAATTAAAGTCCATTATTTACATTACTGTTCACTCGTAGTCTTATACAGTTCTATGAGTTTTGACAAATGCATGATGTCATGTATCTACCATTCCAGTATCATATAGAATATTTTCACTGCCCTAAAAATCACCTGAGCCCTACCTATTTATTCCTTACCCTGCTTCTCCAGAAGCTCTGGCAGCCACTCCTCTATTTTTTTTTTTTAATAAATTTATTTATTTTCGGGTGTGTTGGGTCTTCGATGCTCCACGCGGGCTTTCTCTAGTTGTGGAGAGCGGGGGTACTCTTCGTTGTGGTGTGAGGGCTTCTGATCGCGGTGGCTTCTCTTGTTGTGGAGCATTGGCCCTAGGTGCGTGGGCTTCAGTAGTTGTGGCTTGCAGGCTCTAGAGCTGAGGCTCAGTAGTTATGGTGCATGGGCTTAGTTGCTCCGCAGCAAGTGGGCTCTTCCTGGGCAGGGCTCGAACCCGTGTCCCCTGCATTGGCAGGCGGATTCTTAACCACTGCGCCACCAGGGAAGTCCCAGCCCCTCATCTTTTTACTCTTTCTATGGTTTTGCCTTTTCCAACATGTCATATAATTGGAATCATACAGTATGTAGCTTTTTCAGACTGCCCTTTTTCACTAAGTAATGTGCATTTAAGGTTCCTCCATGTCTTTCCATGGCTTGATAGCTCATTTCATTTAACACTGAATGATATTCTATGGTACGGATGTACCATTTATTTATCCATTCGCCTTTTGAAGGACATTTTGGTTGCTTCCAGTTTTTGGCAATTATGAATGAAGCTGCTGTTTGTGTTCAGGTTTTTGCGTGGACATAAATTTTCAATTCATTTGGGTAAAAACCTAGGAGTGCCTTTGTTTTGCTTTTTGGAGCTTTCTGGAATTTTTTTTTTTCCCTGAATATTTTTGATCTGCAGTTGGTTGAATATGCACATGCGGAACCCAAGGATACAAAGGGCGGATTGTATACTCCAGGTCTTTCTTTGGTCCTTTACATTTATATGATTATATAAATGTATTTGTAAAGTGCAGTCATGTCCATTGTTTCTAAATTGGAAAAATAGAACCTAGCCTTTAATTTTGCTGTATATAACAAAAAGCAGTTAAAATTCTGTTGATTCTTTTTTTTAAGACCAAATGTGGATTATTATTTTGAAAGAAATCATAATACATTTTTTAAAACTTTAAAGCTAACAAAAAATTTAAAGCTAACGAATACCAAAAACATTCCAATTTTGAGAAAGAACAATATATATTTTTTACTAACTACCTAACAGCTATATACAGTGCATGATTTCTATAATGTTTTCTTTCCTACATTTTTTTTGCATCTTTATTGGAGTATAATTGCTTTACAATGGTGTGTTAGTTTCTGCTTTATAACAAAGTGAATCAGTTATACATATACATATGTTCCCATATCTCTTCCCTCTTGCCTCTCCCTCCCTCCCACCCTCCCTATTGCACTCCTCTAGGTGGTCACAAAGCACCAAGCTGATCTCCCTGTGCTATGCGGCTGCTTCCCGCTAGCTATCTACCTTACGTTTGGTAGTGTATATATGTCCATGCCACTCTCTCGCTTTGTCACAGCTTACCCTTCCCCCTCCCCATATCCTCAAGTCCATTCTCTAGTAGGTCTGTGTCTTTATTCCTGTCTTACCCCTAGGTTCTTCATGACATTTTTTTTTCTTAAATTCCATATATATGTGTTAGCATACGGTATTTGTCTTTCTCTTTCTGACTTACTTCACTCTGTATGACAGACTCTAGGTCCATCCACCTCATTACAAATAGCTCAATTTCGTTTCTTTTTATGGCTGAGTAATATTCCATTGTATATATGTGCCACATCTTCTTTATCCATTCATCCGATGATGGACACTTAGGTTGTTTCCATCTCCGGGCTATTGTAAATAGAGTTGCAATGAACATTTTGGTACATGACTCTTTTTCAATTATGGTTTTCTCAGGGTATGTTCCCAGTGGTGGGATTGCTGGGTCATATGGTAGTTCTATTTGTAGTTTTTTAAGGAACCTCAATACAGTTCTCCATAGTGGCTATACCAGTTCACATTCCCACGAGCAGTGCAAGAGTGTTCCCTTTTCTCCACGCCCTCTCCAGCATTTATTGTTTCTAGATTTTTTGATGATGGCCATTCTGACTGGTGTGAGATGATATCTCATTGTAGTTTTGATTTGCATTTCTCTAATGATTAATGATGTTGAGCATTCTTTCATGTGTTTGTTGGCAGTCTGTATATCTTCTTTGGAGAAATGTCTATTTAGGTCTTCTGCCCATTTTTGGATTGGGTTGTTTATTTTTTTGTTATTGAGCTGCATGAGCTGCCTGTAAATTTTAGAGATTAATCCTTTGTCAGTTGATTCATTTGCAAATATTTTCTCCCATTCTGAGGGCTGTCTTTTGGTCTTGTTTATGGTTTCCTTTGCTGTGCAAAAGCTTTGAAGTTTCATTAGGTCCCATTTGTTTATTTTTGTTTTTATCTCCATTACTCTAGGAGATGGGTCAAGAAGGATCTTGCTGTGATTTATGTCATAGAGTGTTCTGCCTATGTTTTCCTCTAAGAGTTTGATAGTTTCTGGCCTTACATTTAGGTCTTTAATCCATTTTGAGCTTATTTTTGTGTATGGTGTTAGGGAGTGATCTAATCTCATACTTTTACATGTACCTGTCCAATTTTCCCAGCACCACTTATTGAAGAGGCTGTCCTTTCTCCACTGTATATTCCTGCCACCTTTATCAAAGATAAGCTGACCATATGTGTGTGG